ATATAGGTTTTGTGAAGGGAAAGACTAAATTTTTTGCTCTACGCATGAAAAAGCCTTGGGAAAAATATCTTGAAACTTGTGAAATTATTATTTTAAAAAAATCAGTATAAATTATATTTTAATTCCTGGCCAGTTTTTAAAGGCTGATATGCTTGTTAAAAGCAATGCTCAGTAATATGAGAGCATAAGCTGTGGATGTGTGGAGGACCCCTAAGCTGAAACTGTGTCCATGTCCCTTTAATTTCAGGTACCCCCGCTTCGAGATCTTATTTCCCCTTTTTTCTTGATAATTAAATCATTTCAGACCTCTCTGGCAATACCTCTTAAATTACCTCGATACAAAATAAGACTTTAGATGGAATACAAGGCTTCCATTTGGGGTTATAAATGAAGCATAAAACCAGAGATATCGGAATGGAATTCTCGGAAGTCTCTGGTTTCACCCTACATCTATCAATCGATCGGCAGTCCTCGGCTGACTCCGCTACGCTCCATTCAAATCTCGGATGTGATTGGTGGAGGAACACGCATCAGGTCGATACGGTCAATGAACGAAAATGACAGGAAAGAACGTTGGATAGCTCAAAATCTCACGTAATATGAAAAGAAATATATATCCAAGAGAAATGATTACTAGAAGGCTTTGAAAGAAAGAACAAATTATTGGGTGTGCCACAAAGTAATGTATGCCACTGGAAAGAATTAAGGAATCACTGTCTAGTTTTGAGAGTATGCCAGCGCATCAACAATAGTGGGAAACATGGATAATTTGCATAACGGGCGAATGTTTGAATGGAGCTTAGAGTAGTCAGCCGAGGATTGCCGATTTGCGGTTGACAAAGATTTTGAACGCTTCCTGGAGACTTCCAATTTAGGTAAACGTGATATGGTCACGTGCAAGTGACATCATCATGATATTTTTTACACAGTAATCAATTTAAATCAAATGATAACAGTTTCCTTACACGTATGACTATCTTTACCAATAGTCGAGTTAGAGGCATAGAAATCAAAATTCAATTTTAAATTATCAAACTACACAAAAATGAAGATACAATTTTAAGAAAAATCAAGAAAGACAAATAAGTGTTAGCAATATGACTGTGTGACACGTTTCAAATGGAGAAAAAATCCAGAACTTTTAAATTTTGAATTTCATTAGGCTTTTCCTTACTCATTAGTGAATCGATAAGCCTTAATTTTTTTTAAATCTACAATTCCTTGTCAAAATACCTAGCATGCTGGAAACAGTTTCGATCGAGCACCTGTCTGAAAGTTCTGGGAATAGATATTGTCATATCTTTAATAAATATGTTTATAAAAGAGTTTTATATATTATGATCCGATTTGACAATGCTTTTGGGTGTTTCGGGCATGTCCACGAGCGCTAAGATCAGGGTTCATCTCCAAGTTTAATCCATTACAAGCAATCTGTGTGATTAAAATTCGATGTGGAAGATAGCGACAGCCCATGCTTCCTGCCTCGGAGGAACTAAATCCTCATTAGAATTTTCATCTCTCCGACATTTTTCTACCGTGATGTATAATCGGATTGTTGAAAACTTGGAATTGAAAAGTATCAGGTGCAAGATAGATGGGATTAGGGAATCGGAATCTCTTATAATTCTATTGTTTAACGGATGGGCATAGGATTCTCTAGTAATTTCCTGTGCTCTGTCTGGCTAGGTTTTTTTTTTATATTACTAGGATCTGCATTAGCTTACGGTATCGACCTGCAAATTATGTAAATTATGTCCCCGTACCTTGTTTCACTGCGGATTTTATTTTTTTTTCTTACGGGGGTGTCTTCCTTCTATGAACTGATTATATAATTCTTTGCAGCTTTTGGCAATGCATTTTTCTTTTTGCATAAAAAAAGAAGTCAATATATACAGGTTTTTGACTGAGTCCCCGTCGTTTATTAGCCCACTACCGGTGAAACCGGAGGGGACTATAGGTTTCCTCTGCGTCTATCCGTCCGTCTTTCCCGATGTCTGTCTGTCAGACGAAATAGGATTTCGACTTTGGGCAACTTTTCTTTTTCTTTTCTTTTTTTTTTTTTGTCAGCTTTTTCAGGTAAGTAAAAAAAAATTTTCTGGCCCCCCACTTTCAAAAACGATGCTACTGGCTGTATGGTTAAGGTTAAAGGTTCCCAAATGCAAGTCCAACTCCAAGGTCAAAATTGTTGGTATCAAGAGGAAGGTCTTTTCACCACAAATACACCAATAAAAATATAAAAGCCCTAGTACTAACTGTTCAAAAGTTATGGCTCTGGTTTCATTTTAAGTTTCAAAGTAAAAAAAATATATTTATACCATTTGAAAGGTCTTGTCACAATTAATACAGAGGTGAAGTATGAAAGCCCTAGCACAAACTGTTTAAAAGTTATGGCCATGGTTAAAGTTTGGGGGGTTTTTTTTGGTCAAGGTCAAGAGGTCATATTAGGTGGTACTCAATGAAAAGTCCCGTCACAAGGAATACAACGTGAACAAGATATGTTTGTAAACACTTATGCGCCCCTCCCCCAAATTGGAATTTTTGCAAGTCCAAGGGGCATAACTCTATCTAGCTGAAGATCTGTAGCTCTCCGAAAAAAAAAAATTTGATAGACCGGAGAGCTACAGAGCCACCCATTGAAAAAACTGTATATTTATTGCGCACAAAAAACTGCGCTCGGTTCTCGTATATTTCTCCATTTTTTTTAAGCTGTAATCTCAAAATATTACCAACCGTGTGTTCCTAACATATTCTTTGACTCTTTCCACAACAAAACATTCCTCATAATTGTTGTTAATAGTCCTCCTGGACCTGATATTGCAATCATCGGACATTTCGCTTATTTATACAGTCATTTTGGTTTCAAAGATAATTCGGTCCAGTATGCTTCGTTCAGATGTCAACTACGAGAGAACTTGATAGAGGAGAGAGTAATTTTTTATAATCTTCCATTTTTTGCAATTGAGGTAAGAATTTGGAAAAATTAATCAAGAATCGAGTGCACTTTTTTGTGCGCAATAAATATACAGTTTTTTCAATGGGTGGCACTGTAGCTCTCCGGTCTATCAATATATATTTTTTCGGAGAGCTACAGATCTGCAGCAAAACTCTATCAAAAATGACGCAATCGTACCCAAAACAAAACTTAACCTAGATATTCAGCTGAAAAATCTGTATACTAAATTTCATTTCAATATGTACAACCTCTGCAAAGAAAATAAACGGAAAGTGCAAATAAGTGGAATTTTTCTAAGTTGAAGGGGCATAACTCTAACAAAAATGGTGCGATCGTACCCAAAACAGTACTTGGCCTAGATTTTAAGCTGGTTATTCTGTATAGCAAATTTCATTTCAGTATGTGCAACCTCTGCGAAGAAAATGAACGGAAACTGCAAATAAGTGGAATTTTTTTAAGTCCAGGGGAATAACTCTGTCAAAAATGGCGCGATTATACCCAAAACAGAACTTGGCCTAGATATTCACCTGATAAATCTGTATACCAAATTTCAATTTCAGTATGTGCAACGGTTGTGAAGAAAATGAACGGAAAATAAATGGACCAACAGACCGACCGACAGACCGAGAGACAGCAGCAAAGCAATATGCCCTATTTGCAATATGCAATGGGGGGGGGGGGGCATAAATATAAAAGCCATAGTCCCACCTTGTCTATAGTTATGGATAAGGTTTAAGTATTTGTGGACAAAACTAAACAGACAGACGGACGGACGGACACGACAAAACTTTATTCCCCCGATTCTTCGATTACGGAGGCATAAAAACTTATTCAAACACAAAGAACACTGTCAATAACTTTCACAATAAAACCGACACCTAAACGTTATGTAATGTATCAATCCTTTTCAGCTTCTTGAATTATAGACCAATCAATATTTCTTGAAGTTTTATAGCCAAGAGCAATGATCCCGTCTTAATCCGACTGTAATCCCATCATTTTCCCAATGCAGTCTACATATTCAAACAGAGATAACTATATAATCTATATAGTGTATACAGTATTGATACCCAAGTGTTCTCCAAGATTCTGGTATTAAAATATCACAAAAAAAAACTGTCGTTTATGTGGAACTAAAAAGGGCCATTTATTTTTTTATTTAAAAACTTTAAGAGAAGATTTGCTCTCTGCTTTAAAATCCAATAATACACCGTGAGTAAAATGAGCACTATATATAGTTTTGAATTCTCCAGACGTATGAGTTGCGCAGATAAGTTGGAGGAGATAACGGTGAACAGGATATATTCCAATAAATTTAATTAACAAAATATTAAGTCTATTATATTGTCCGAAGAAATAGTAATCGTCTGTGCGAATTTGAAGGCTAACAACACTCTGGTATTCATCCGCTAACACCCTACACGAGTAATCTAGTTCCTAAGGGATTCCAGCGGCAAGCCAAACAGAATTGGCTGGTGGTTGATCAAATCATCAACGGTTCAGGAGGTTTCCATCCCTTTGCTCTTCGTCATAATAGTTTACGACAGGTCGAGAGGTTCCAGTTCACCTCAAGCGGACACTTGTGACTAATTTGCATAAATAACAATGGCAGAATGAACTTGATTACCCCCCTTTATTCTGACAGATATGATGATCTGTTGTTTTATTCTATTATCTTGGGTGGCAACAATCGTGTTCGGTATAATCTAATCACGAATCATTTTGTACTTAGAAGTAAAATATTTTACATTGTAGTTAAGTTAAAAATAAGCCTTGATATAAAACTGGAGAATTTCGGAGCACAACTTCGCAAACATAATTCTTTCTCTTGGAAAATAAACCGTTTATTAAAATTAATATCCCAGGAAAAAATAACCAGAAGGTGTAAACTTTTTTCGTGTGATGTTAAACACGTCTTTAATATACTGCATATAAGATGCAGTAATGATAAGCACTAAAAACAATAATTGAAATTCTCTGTATCTCAAAAGAAAAAAAAAATAATGCAAACAGTTTTAATTTTATTCACTTTGAAGTTATTAGCTATGAAATTAGACGTGCTAATATACCTATCTGATGAAGGCGTTTGCATAAGATTTATTTAATAAGCGCATAAATATTGATAAGAAAATGTTCTATTAATAAATTAACATTCTTTATAAAGTGTGTCATCATTTCATAAATGTGCTTCAGATTTTTCTTGCCTCAAAATCCCTACCAATTTGTCTGTCACTTGCTCTTTTAATATCCTTTCTTATGATTTAAAGGCATTGTACACGCACGGTATCCTGCATTTTTACTCTATAACAAAACAGTTAATTGATAAGAAAATCCGAATTCAGTTTCCAGGCTAGGCTTGTCTAGTCTTTTCAATTTACATCATCACAATCTATTGAAAAGTTAAAGAAAAAAAAATTCAATATCAGAAAATGTTTATACAATCATTCTAAATCAATGAATCCCCTGAAGAAAGAAATTTCTACCTGATATTACCTCGTCTTTCTGACAATTCGTGACCATTATTTTAACAAAATCTGCATTATCACTCCAATAAAAATGCAGAAGCAAACGAGTACTCAACTCACCTAAGAGAGATAACTCTCTCTTTTGTCTGATCTTCAGCACCAACCGGGGGACCACACGTTATCAAACTTGGACGGATTACTTTTGGGGTCGGGGATAAGGGGGTAGTTCGGAGGAACAGCATTCTTGGTCAGTAATTGTAGTCGCTCGCTCAGTTGTTTCACTATTTCTGGCTTTGACTTGGACAAATCGTTGTGTTCTGTTGGGTCATCTAAAACGAATAAATTTCGTCAGGTTTATAAAGGCCTACTTGGTTTTGAACTTCATATTTACAAAGTTAGATAATTCGAATGGATTTTCAAAAAAATTAGGGTTTTTAATATATTTTATTTGATTATGTGATTTAAGATGTTACAGTGTACTTAACAATAACCTTTCAAATTAAAAAGCTGGTATCTTCCCGCATGCGCCTGCATCTCTTCTACAGACGGTTCCGGTTTGAAATCATACACCTGGTCCGGTTTATACCAGTCCGGATATAATCCTGGGTATCCATCAATTAACTTATAGTCCCCCATTCTGCATAAGAAAGGGATAACACTGTTTTATCATGAAACATATGGAGATAACGAACAGTATTCAAGATCAAAAGTCCATATAACAATACAAAATAGGAGTAGAGCAAACACGGACCTCCAAAACATAAGAGGTGGGATCAGGTGCCATGGAGAAGTGAGTATCCCCTGCCGACCGATCACTCTCGTCGTGTGCTCCTTGTCATGTTCGGGAAATAACGGACAAATCCGTTGTCAATTCAGTGTATAAATAATGGACTAACAATAAGTATGAAAAACGTCAGTCAGCATTTGACTCTATGATAAATTGTATTTATAATAAATGTTTGTGTTTTTCCCCAATGGCAGTAATATCACACTGTAAATTCAACATTTACAGCATCATGTCATTTGCTTTATCCAACTTCGTTTCCAGTTTATTTCTTTACCATGAAAATGTTTGACAAAATAAGTAATAAAATTTCAATTAAGATTTTAATTATTCTGATTCTTATTTTCCTGTATTTTGTATTGCAATACCTTATTGCGGCATGACCCTCTTCTGGGGCGACGTCAGAATCAAAGTTGTAAATGAGTTCAGTCCGCGGACCCGGGGTATTGTTTATAATAGCTGGCCACTGGCTCACCCCATCTCCGTTTAATGCTGCAGGAAAGAAAAAATAAGCCAATACACTTTATATACTAGTATATCATTTCTATATTTTTTATATTGATTCTATTTATATATGGTGCAGCACACCTCTCCGTCCTACCTGGTTTACCACCGGCGGCCTCAACCAGGGTACTGGACCAATCAACTGCGTGCAGCAAACTAAAAATAATCCATCAAAACGAATTATCAAAATCTTGCAAAAGACAAGGCATCTTATGGGGGGGGGGGTTATAAAAAAGCTTTAGTTTTTGCTTTCGTAAACTCCTAACCTTTCGAATGACTCTCCTGTTTTCTTTAGCCCTGCACCATGAACGAAAGAGACAACCCGAGTTCCACCTTCGTACACCGTGAATTTCCCTCCCCTCAAAGGATAGTTATTTCCGAAATACTGGGGCCAGCCACCATTCTATCAGAACAGTCGGGAAAGAGCTCAATGTTGGTGAAGTTTGACAGTAATGTGATTTTATGTGTGAGTACTAGTAACTTACGTCGGCGGTGAAGACAATGAGGGTGTCCTCATACAGCCCCGACTCCCGGAGTTGGTTTGTTATGTTCCCCACAGCTTCATCCAAGGCAGACACCATTCCTGTTATTATGTACATGTACATGATTATTTTATTCACATTGACTTGCGATGCCAAAAAGTTTTCTTTTTGTATACATGTATTTATATCCATTTGCCTTCAAATTTTTAACAAAGGAAATATAATCAAAATGTACGTATGATAAGCGAGACAAGATTTAGGCATTTATTCAGAATTAACAAAATCCTTGTCTACTCCAAGTTGTAAAATATAGATGAATAAAGAATATTTATACATCTTACCCTTTATTACAGGAATGGAAAGGAATCTGACATTTTTATCATTTGTTGACTAATAAAGATTATAATAGCAGAGACATAAATAACACATTGATAATAGATATTTCTTTCTTGCACCCTATTAATTTACAGAGAGAGATTTATATAAGAAGTCTAACCTGAAAACTGCCGTCTTCCTTGTGACTTAACACTAGGATACATATCTTCATATTTCTTTGGAACCTAAAAATGCATAGAAAAGGCTAGCGAGGTTCAATTTTTGACAGATCTTCAGCTATCATCACAAAAAACTGTATATTTATTGCGCACAAAAATTTGCGCTTAAAGTTCTGGATTAATTCTTCCAAATACTTACCTCAGTTGCGAAAACAATAGATTTGAAACGAATTCCTTACTCCTTTATGATGTTCGCTTCTCTATAGTTGACATCTGCACGAAGTGTGTTGGACTGAATTATCTTGCAAACTAAAATGGCAGTATAAATAGACGAAATTTCGACGATCTCAATTTCAAGGCGAGGAGAGCTATTAACAACAGTTATGAGGATTGTTTTGTTGTGGATCAGTAAAAAAAATATGTTAGGAACACATGGTTAGTAATATTTTGAGATAACAGTTTGAAAACATGGAGAAATAAATCGAGAAACTGCGCACTTTTTGTGCTGAATAAATATACAGTTTTTTTCTATGGGTGGCACTGTAGCTCTCCGGTCTGTCAATATATTTTTTCGGAGAGCTACAGTTCTGCAGCTAAGAAAAGGCTGGCGAGGTTCAATTTTTATCAATCATCACAAGAACTGATCCACATATTGCAATGAATGCTTCTAAGATTCTATAAATGGAACGAACATTTCTGAGAGTACATGTACATTCCTACGAATATCACAGTCCTTTGTCAGCTCGCCCCCCTGGGACCCCAGTCTAGCAAACATGAGTAGACATCCTAGTGGACCTTACCCGTCATTTTTGTAAAGTTTTAATTTGTATCATTCAAAGTATAACCTGAATTGGATCGTGGACATTTTGGAATGCCATGTACAAGAACAGAGGCTGGCTGGAGTTATGGTTCTTTATGATGTCCTGAGCTCTTGATGCAAACGTAAACTAAAAAAAATCAATGAGATATCTAGAAGTTACGTAGTTAAAACTGAGGTGTTTAAGAAAATTATAAAAATCTTATATACTAAAGGTTACAAAATATTTGCGGTAAGTTTGAAAAAATGTTTGAATAATCTTGTGTTTCAAAAGGATCCTTCGCTCAATGGTGACAAATTATATAGAAAAATACATTTTAATAAAACAGTTAAACTTGTATTTGTGCTCATGTATAATTAAAATAAATTGCTTTCAAAACTACAAATTTTGATTTTCCGTCATACAAATATAACAGAAATCCCTTTAAATTGTTCTTTACTGAGTTTTTAATTTAATGGTGACATTGATTTTATTGCTCATGAATATTCAAAAAGAAACTCTAACTATCCTTTTATTATTGTAAATGTTCTACTTAAAGATGATTTAGTGAATGGTTAAATCAAAACAGAAGAAATGAACAAAAACCTCAACAATAAAGAAAATTAATCTTTACCTACTTAGCATTAAAAAATGGAGTTTAAGGTTGAGTTTTAGAAAGGTAACCTAAATGCAATGTTAAATAAAATGATTTCCATATTTTTCAATCAGGGACCATGGAAAGGCTTAGGAATTGACACCTAGATCCAGATAAAGAATAAATGGTCATTAAAATCCCGACCCCCTAGACCCTTACCGCTGAGTACGTTCCGTTGAGATTCCTGACCGGTTTCTCGTTGTCCCTATAATCCAGATAATTATCTGAAAAAGAAGAAACATAAGTCTGAACTGAATATACAAAGGTCAAGACACCGATATATTGCATGTCAACCGATTATAATCATAAAAGAGACTACATGTATGTTGAACTGTTTGTGGATAAAAGAGAAAAATTATGCAACCATACCACAGCTACTTGTGGACAGGACCCCCCCCCCCCCCGATATTCAACCCCGGGGCTTGTTGGACATCTTTTTCAAAAATTATATTTATTACACTTATTCATCATGTGTACAATATGAAAAAATCGTCAAAACCCCAAAACAATCGCTCCACAAAAAAATACGCCACTATAATTCAACATAAAGATCTAGTACTTTTTAAAATAATATTGTTTGTCATTGAAAGGATAAAATACTGCTTACAACAGTTACTGTTTTATGTCGAATTTTGATGAAAAAAAAAATTAACTGGAACATTGCTAAATATCAAATGTATTCATGTGCACCAAATTACAACTGGCTTAATTGTGAAATGAACTCACACCACTCGTGTGTATAATGATCCTCCTGCGCGTTATAATAACCAAAGAAGGAATCGAACCCTCGGTAAGTCGGCGTGCAGTTCCAACTGCAGAAACCCAAGTGCCACCTGGAGAAAAGTAAATGGCTTCGTCAAGGAATATTTACAGAGAATCGGGTGATGATAAATTGCAGTAAACGATATGATTTTTTTCTTCTTTTTACTAACTTTCCAACCATGTGTGTAGCGTAACCAAGTTCTTTCAGTCTTCGAGGTAAAAACTTCATTTTCAGAGGTGAACAGACGGGCTGCCAGGGTAGAATCACAAGATGCTGTAACAAAAAAGCAATCAAAAACGCTTCTAATCATCATACGAATGCCTCAATATTCAAAATTATTTTCAAGATTTCGACCATTTACGACGCACCTGTAAACCTGCATGATAAGGGTAGTAACCTGTCATTATGGCATGGCGAGATCTAGGGAAAATGAAAAGTCTTTATTATAAGTAGTAAAAAGCTAAAAACTTCGGAAATCAAACTATAGTCTACCGACTTAATGTTCAAAATGAAATATATATAGTCTTAATTAGTCTTACGGACTACACAGAGGCTGTAGATAGGTCTGGTTCAGAATAAGCCCCTCCCTCGCCAGTCTGTCTATGTTGGGGGTTTTCATGTTAGGATTGTGGAATCCCACATCATTCCAACCTATCAACAAAGAATAAGGGTTACACATAAACCGATTTAAATCAAATTATTCTCAATACTTGATTATGAGAATCATTTCTTATAACAACTGGTTAATAAGGAAAACATCTTCATTCATTGTTATTCACCCCATCTCAAGAGATGTACTTGAAAATGATGCCATAGTTCATGAACTCCGATATTATGTGAAATTGTTAGGCACCTAGCATCGTGGGGGTGGGGTTGTTGCCCCCTTTTCCATCCATAAATTTTTAAGATAGAAAATGATCATTGAAAGCCCCCCCCCCCCATTCACACACTTTTGGTTGGAGTATAAGGGTAATGAAAGGTAATGGTGCACAGGCACTTGTTTCGTATACGGGCACCCCTACTTATTTTTATGGTAAAAATAAGTCGGGATGCCACTCGTTTACGAAACAAGTGGCTGTGTAATGGTGTGTTAAATTGAAAAAAATGGTATTGAAAAAGTTGGAACGTAACCCTACCCCCACCACCAAATACATGTAGGATATTCGTATTTGGACGATTTCCTTTTTTTTTGCTTGTCAAGTTTTTAGCTCACCTGAGCCGAAGGCTCAAGTTTTCACATTTTCCATCCGTAAATTTTTAAGATAGAAATTGATCATTGAAACTTTTCACATTTTCCCCCCCCCTGGGCCATTCACACACTTTTGGTTTTGTTCAAATGAAGGGCCACGCCCTTATTCAAGGGGAGATAATTGGGAATTAATGAAAATTTGGTAAAAATCTTCTTCTCAAGAACCACTGTGCCAGGAAAAATAAAACTAAACATCCTCAGGTAGTGTAGATTCAAGTTTGTTCAAATCATGACCCCCGGGGGTAGGGCGGGGCCAAAATGGCCGACCAAAGTTTTACATAGAAATATATTGGTAAAATTCTTTAAAAATCTTCTTCTCAAGAACCACTGTGCCAGGAAAGATGAAACTTATGGGGTAACATCCTCAGGTAGTGTAGATTCAAGTTTGTTCAAATCATGACCCCTGGGGGTAGGGCGGGGCCAAAATGGCCGACCAAAGTTTTACATAGAAATATATTGGAAAATTCTTTAAAAATCTTCTTCTCAAGAATGACAAAGGCATAATTCATCATATTTATAAGGAAGCATCCTCAGGTAGTGAAGATTCAAGTTTGTTCAAATCATGACCCCCGGGGGTAGGGCGGGGCCAAAATGGCCGACCAAAGTTTCACATAGAAATATATTTTTTTTAAAAATCTTCTCAAGGACAAACCCATAATTCAAATTTATATTGAAGCATCCTCAGGTAGTGAAGATTCAAGTTTGTTCAAATCATGACCCCCGGAGGTAGGGCGGGGCCAAAATGGCCGACCAAAGTATTACATAGAAATATATTGGAAAATTCTTTAAAAATCTTCTCAAGAATGACAGAGCCATAATTCATCAAATTTATATGGAAGCATCCTTAGGTAGTGGCTGTTTGTTCAATGGTGTGTTGAAATATATTGAAAAAAAAATCTTCTTCTCAAGGACAGAGCCATAATTCATCAAATTTATATGGAAGAAAAAGTTGGAACGACCCCCGGGGGAAGGGCGGGGCCAAAATGGCCGACCAAATTTTTACATAGAAATATATTGGAAAATTCTTTAAAAATCTTCTACTAAAGAACCACTGTGCCAGGAAAGATGAAACTTATGTGGTAACATCCTCAGGTAGTGAAGATTCAAGTTTGTTCCCCCGGGGCCAAAATGGCCCACCAAATACATAGAAATATATAGGAAAATTCTTTAAAAATCTTCTTCTCAAGAATGACAAACCCATAATTCATCATATTTATTTGGCTTGAAGATTCAAGTTTTTTTTCGGGGCCAAAATTTTTACATAGAAATATATAGGAAAATTCTTTGAAGAAAAGCAAATCCATGATTTCAAACTTTTCAATTTTTTACTTTTTCATAGCTACAGTACTCAGGTGAGCGATGTGGCCCATGGGCCTCTTGTTTTCAGGTTAGTTTAATTTTTTTTTCTCGGGCTGCCCTCACCCCCTCCCCCACTTTCAGAAACAATGCTACGTCAAGTGCTGATTGTTGTCAAAATTCTACATATATAGAGATACATCAAACTTACCCAGATCGTCTGCTACTATAAAGAGAATGTGCGGCGATTTAGCATGTACGTTCTTCCTTTGTAGCAAGAGAAAAACACCCCCAAACAAAATAAAAACAAAGAATTTCAACACCATTTTAACTGCTCAGCTACTGATGGCGGTTGAGCAACATGACATGGTGTGATACAGGACGACTGCTATCATCATTTTATCAGTATACACAACTGATAACAAAGGATACTTGTATTTACATGTATGCTCATAAAGATGCAGCTGGTAAAACTTTTTGTGTGCGGGTACCTGAAGAAGTTGACATAGCAATACAGGTGCCATAGGGCGGATGTTAATTCTTAAACAATCTTCTCCCAATTCTTAAACATGTTACATAATTAGATACGCGGGATTATATATTTTGAAGTTTATGCTATATCTTTGACGAATATACCGTAGTATTATACGCATAAATGATATACTTTATGATTCCTTTACTTTTATATACTTTTTAAACACTTTATTTTTAAAGTCTTATTTGGCCTAAAAAGTAAATATTAAACATTGCATGTCATCAACATGTCTTGAAAATTTAAGCACCAATTTTTAAATCTGATACTCCAGTATACTGTTAACAAGCAAGCATGAAAATATGTCTTGACATCGTTCAAAATTACAAGTTTTAAAGTTGATTGACTTCATCTTTCAGTGACAGGGACCTGGCATGGTTTTGTAAGTATGGGTGGGGGGGATGGGGGTAGGGTGGGGCAGTCACAGAAAAAAAAATCGACGTATCTGATAATATTTATCAAGCCAATAAATAATGAAGAGAAATGTCCATACACGAAAATTCCAGTTCGATGGAAGGGGATAAGTTACTTCTTTTAGAATCAAATTATATATATATAGAATACCTGATTTGACTTTAGTTTACTAAAACAAAAAGGGGTGCCCTTTCAATTAAACATTTCAACTGTAAAAAAGTTATGTTTGGAAAAAAGTGGGGAGGTTCGATAGTGGGACTATCACAAACGATGATTTTTCCAATTTGAATTATAGGAAGAAAGACAACTCACGTTTCTGTTCTTAATTTCCCAGACTATACCACGAGAACAGACTAAGATAATGAAATACATATACTGGGTACCTGATTTCTTTTTCGTTTGAACACATAAATGACTCCTTGATATTTTTTTCTTTATAACATAACAGGAATCTATCAGATACACACCCTCTTATAAATAATATTCATAAGCCTGACCCACTCCCTCCAATATTAAAAAAAGCAAATAAAGGGGAAGTTGGGCATAAAAAAATTCTTCAGTCATTTCGACAGAAAAAATGGAACAATGCAAGAGGGCTTGATCATGTTGCAACAAAAGTCGGTTTTTGAGCAATGTAAACTGTACAACGACCAGACAACAGGAATTAATATTTCATTATAAAAATAAATGCATCAACATGTCATGTAGAAAAAAGAAATACGTTAAGCTTGCATAAAGTGAGTGAGATGTAAAATCATTGAAATATAATAAAGTTAACATATTCAGTAATTTTTAAAGATTTTCATGCGTTTTTTTCCTTTCTTTAAGGATTATTGTTATTTTTTTTTTTTTTTGGAGGGGGAGGGTCCGAATTCTTAATGTACATGCTATGACTTTTAGTTTTGTAAATTAATTAATGTCTCTCCAGTAAATCTTTAAGAAAAATACAAAGACTTGTCCACAATTGTGACGTCATAATTAAAGACCTTTACTGATTATTATGACGTCATAAATCCAGGAACGCAAATGTGACGTCATAATCAAATTTCTGGCATTTCGGGAAATCTTTCCGAAACCTATGGTTGGCAATTTATCTGTGTTCTCAGATTTGTCAACCATTTCGCCGGATTTATACGTGGTCAAAGTACAGCTGCGTATTGCAAGTCTTCTTGACTGTTTACAGTCAATCTGTGTTGAAGACGAGCGATTTTATTGAAGATTCTGAAGACAAAGTACCACTGGGTACTTATTGGTGAGTTGTTTTTCATGCTTTCACTTCATATCACATGTTATATATGATACTACAAGGACATAGGCAGAGGGATTTTGTAGACTGGGGGTGAAAATGAGTCGTTCATAGTTTTCTAGGATAGTTTTGCATTTTGTAGGATATATTGTACCATTTAAGGAGAGGGGCCATTAAGTTATATAAGAACTTGTTTCCAATTCTTATGATTTATATTCATGAAAATTAAATGGAAGAAAGTTTTATTTAGGAAGTAAGCTTTGACCATGCAGGGATTTAGAGTTTTTAAATCATAAGTTGTCTGACATTGCTTACCAGCTATTGTAGTTTTTTCTTTATTGTTGCTGGGGGTGAGGTGGGGTGGAGGTAAGAATATTGAATTCAGTATGGTTGGGGCTTTTTATTAATACAGATCCTACATTTATATTACCACTTGTAGTGAGTTGTTACGTTGCAGATCGAGACAGTAAATGTAAAATAATTATACCGAATATTATTAAGTTCTGGTCAGGAGTACAATTTAATACTACGCAGTAATGTCATGGACCATCTTCCTATAAGTACAGCAAAGGGATCAAAATTCAAATATTGTCTGAAGGATCCTAAATTATGTATGATGACGGTCTTATTTATGATCAAGTATGCCTTATGTATTGTGTTTTTTCCCAATACATTTTACTGTCTTACGTTTGACTTTCAAATTTACAGATCGCTATACTATTGTTTCTTTTATAGAATTAGGCGATTTGAGCTCGTAAAAATATCTATTAGATTTATACATAGAGTAGCACTTCGTCACACATATATTCCGATGTTCCCAATATAAAATATAGTTAACGATGATATTCATGATATTTTTTGAATTCAAATACACATCAGAATTAAATTTTTAGACATGTTTTACATTCAGGCAAAATCTCACAATAGCCTTTCCCCTCTTTCAGGTATTGCCTTGTTAAGGATCGAAGCGTTCATAATAATTAATCTCTTATAAATGAGAAATAAGGTTAAATAATATCTGATACATTTTTTGCAGGAGATAATGGAAAATAAAAGAAGCCAGCGTTCACCCATCTCACATGGGTTTGATATTGAGATAAACAGCATTCAGTTGAAACCATCAAGAGTTGCTGAGATAGCAAAGCGTTTGAAGAGCGCTAAAGAGAACATCAACTCGACTGCGAGCAACAGTCGCAGCAGAGATTGCTGTAATAGTGCAAAAGGAAGCATGCGTACTCCCCCAGTCTCTAGACCATCTAGTCAGATGTCAGGAAATGACTTTCTTGTTTCTGGAAAAGAGGACAAAAAGGAAAGCCCTGGGAAAGATGACGTTAAACAAAGCTCATCAGTTGTACGTAAAACGGGGGAAATGGCCATGGCAAGCCCAAGCCCTGAGCCTAAGATTTCTCGTTCCTTCCTCAGCCAATCCTCTGTAATATCTAGAAATGGAAGTGGAAAATCCAACAGACATGTTTGTTCTGCCAAAAAGGATTTGATAGTCCAAACAAGCCCAAGAAATGGTGGAGAATCCTATCGTTCTGCAAGTAATCTGTCGGGATTTGACTCGCAGTGCGAAAGCAAAACCCCAGAGAGCGGGCCATACACTGATCGTCGCAGAACTCCTGCTAAAGAAAGTATCTCCAGAAACAATACATCTGATTGCGTCTCCCATGCCGGTCGCAAAACCCCTGGATGCAGAAACTACGATCAGAGTGCTGAGAAGAATGCAGCAAATTGCAAACACTCAGGGAGAGTAGAGGACCCACCTCACGAAATAAAACGTGCTAGCAATTCCCCCACAGAGGACGAGTACCAGTATGAAGATGATTTCGAGGAAGAGGATTCAGAAAAAAAGAGGAAGAGAAAGAAGACAGTGTTGTCTACAAAAAGCGAGGATGATTTTTGGAATACTGGCGTAGATGATGAGAAGCCAAATCGAAGGTTGCCTTTAAAACTTAATTTGGCCACTTTTGCTTTTGATGACAGTAAGGAGAAACTTAAACAAGCTTGTCACAAAACCTTGGAGCCAAAAGGTATCAGTCAGAAGCAATCTGGTGTAAATCACGTATTCGCAGGCAATGTTGGATTGAAGTCTGAAACAAGAAATGAGTCGAGCACCTCCCTTTCTTGTGACAGAAAAGCTGGAAGTCACTCAAGAACCTCATCCAGGCAGTCTCGATCCAAAAGCAGATCTCTCTATAACGACTGTCGTCCTGGTAGTAGAGCCCACGATAGGGAGCTTCACTATGAGAGCAGACTCTCATTTTACAGTTCTCATTCTGATTTCATAACCCCTGGAAATGATGCTCATGCTGATAGCAAATCTCCGGGTCTGGGTCAAGGAGCGGCCGACAAGAGAACCCCTGATACTGATTCTCGATCTGGAAGCAGAACCTCAGATCGCAAAGTTCGTACTGCTAGCAGAACTCCAGATAGAGAATCGTACTCCAGATGCAGTCAACCGGATCATAAAACTTTAGCTTCAGCTTCTGTCACTGGATGGAAAACTCTGGAGAGCGATTTCCGTCCAAGAGGCAAGGTACCGCATACTGAAGCCCTTGCTAATCATAGAACCCCGCTTAGAGATTCTTTCTCTGCAAGCACAAGTCCGGATGATGGAAGCACAAGTCCCAGTGATGGAAGCACAAGTCCCAGTGATAGAGGCACAAGTCCCAGTGATGGAAGCACAAGTCCAGATGATAGCTCACGCTTGGGAAGCGGTAAAGTGAAAAATGATCATAGCTCTGAAAAGTTGAATCAGAGTAACGAAAAATTAGGCAGATACACGGGCAATGTAGAGACATCATCTCAAGAAATGGAGAGACCAAACTGTTCTCCTAAAGTGGTTGAGTACCACTATGATGATGATTTCGAGGAGACCGAAGATTTAGAAAAAGAGGAGAAAGGTAAAGAGACAGTGGTGTCTACTGAAAGCAAGGATGATTTTTGGAACACTGGTGATGATGATACCACTAAGTCTAAGAAACTGAAAGAGGCGGTATCTAGAGAACCTAAATTGGCAGCATTTGCTCCAGTCAAAGAAATGCAGAAATTCGACCAAACTGGTAACGAATCCTTGGAGCCTGATTGTATTAAACTGAGATCATCTAATATGGAAAAGAAGTCGGTCTCAAATCACACAGAAACTACGAGCAAGTCTCCAGCTTCTGTAAGGCAAACCACCACTGAAGCCTGTGCAAAATGGGTTGCTAAAACAAGTGTGCTTACTATACCTAAAGATCCACAAGATTTGTCTGCTTTGATTGCTGAGAAGATTCTTGGTGATAAAACTGAGTTCAAAATTACAGGCAAAAATATCCGGAAATCTCGCAAAACTGCTCCAGATATGGGAAAAACAAAGCGGGAGCCATCCAAACCTCCGGTAAAAGAAAAACAGAAAGAGCGGAAAAAGGCCAAGAGAGCAAAGGCTAGGCTTCAGGACTTCACTGCTTTGGAACACCGTGGCACAAGCGATGGGAAGAATGATATAGAAGGAATGATGATCACCGGCACCGCTAAGAGTAGCCCTTATCTGAATCGACAAGATCATAGGATGGGAAAAGGGACATGCTCTACCTCAACTGGTCTCCCAACCGTTTCAAACACCTTGGACGATCTAAAGCTCAGTCCTTATTTGAAACAAGGACAAAGAAAGCCACAGGCAGACGTCGCTCTTCCAAGAATCGAAGCTACTCGAATCAATCCAATGGTAGTGGAACATCATGGCGATCGCAAGAAAAGCACAAATGTTATATCGAGGCAACACAGAATGATTGAACTAGAAGAGGAGATTGGAAGCAACCAGTGGAAACCGGAAGTACGAAAACTTCCGCATCGCCCGCGGCAGATCAACGAGCGCACGCTGAGAAAGTTGCCTTGTCCACCAACACACCCAACACACCCCAAAGCTGAGGCGACTATGTACGGAGATAGTCTGGAAGTGACCGTCATGGATCCGTGCGGTCAGGGATACGCTTCCGACAAGAACAATATTAAAATTACCGTCATGCATCATTCCAATAAAATCTACAAAGAACTGCCCACTCATCCGCCCCGAAACGAGCTGTATTACGAGTACTCGTCCGATCCCGACATCATCAAACATCGGGCTGAAGGACCGCCTTTTGTTACATACACTGGTATTTCATTGGAGAAGAGAAGATACTCCAAACGCTAGATAATAACGCAAACTTGAATGTTAATGATAAAGTTTTTTGAAAAGGTCACAAAATTTAGGATTGAGGGGGAGGGGTATTTGAAACTTTGTATATATTAAAAATAAAATAGACTGCGATATATAGAATCCAAGTAAGGTTTGTCCACTCAAATATTTACGTTTTGTGAAGTTTGATTTAATATGATATAGACCATTTGTTTGATGAAATTAGTTTTTAATTTAACAAAATAAGCATGTTGCACGTTTATGCTTAAAAAAACAAACAAAAAACAAAAAAAAAAAAAAAAAAAAAACTTGGTCATCTAAACGCATATTTGATTATATGTGTATTTAACGAACTACTAAATGGTCAGTTCAATTGCTTGTACATGTTTTCTGTGATTTATTTTTAAAATTGCATGCAGAATGCAAACAGAATGCATAGAAAATTTTTATTTACTTTTAAACTGTATCAATGTACATATATTTAAAATGTTGGCTTACCAAATGCACAGCCCATTGTATATATTTTAAAGCCTAATGAATATATTTTAAAGCTTGGCTTATCAAATGCATAGCTTAAGTGCTATAATATACGTCATAACATCTTATTAATTTATTATCAAACTTTGTAGTGAATTTAGTGTTGAAAAAATATGCATAAATATTTAACTTACTCTTAATTTCAAATTGGCTTACCAAATGCATAGCCCCTTTGTATTTGTAGATGCATATTAGAAATAAAAAGCGCTTACAAAATTTGCCTTTCTTTTTTTTTCATAATTGCAACCCTGTGCAAGGTAAAAAAAATTCTCAAAATCAATGGAAATTTTCTCTCTTAGAAGTCCAAAATACTTCCCCAATATAATGACAGCGGCCTGTATACACATTTGTGTGATTGGTGTGGCGGGTGCAAGGTGTATTGAGGGAAACACTACCTCAAGTTCATACCCGAACCGCAAAGTAAATCTACAGGATTCAAGATGTGTTTGTGAAACACTATGCGCCCGGCGGCAACAAATTCGAAAAAAAGCTAGTTTTAGCATATAGGTCACAGTCCAGGTCACAAGGTCATTGCCCTTGGTGTCATTTGAAAGAACTTGATTAGTGGAGTTTGCATACCAAAATATGAAGTTCTTATCTCTCATGGTTCAAAAGTTATGGGGAAGGTTCAAAAAAGCTAATGTCTAGCATAAAGTTTGCAGTCAAGGTCACAAGGTCATTGACCTTGGTCAAAGAACTTAATTAGAGGAGTATGCAAACCATACACGAAGTCTCTGTCTTTCATGGTTCAAAAGTTATGGCGAAGGTTAAAGTTTGCCGACTAAAAGCTATTTTTATCAGTCAGGTCACAGTTAAGGTTACAAGGTCATTGACATTGGTGTCATTTAAAAGAGCTTCATTAGTGGAGTATGCATATTAAATATGAAGTCTCTACCTTTTATAGTTCAAAAATATGGTGAAGGTTAAAGTTTGCAGAAAATAGGCTATTTTTAGCATATAGGTCACAGTAAAATTGACAAGGTCATTGACCTTGATGCCATTTGAAAGAGCTTCATTAGTGGAGTATGCATACCATATATGAAGTATCTTTCTTTCATGGTTCAAAAGTTATGGCTAAGGTTAAATTTTGCAGACAAACAGACAGACTGACAGAAAGACAGACAGACAAACAGACAGGACAAAAACAATATACGCCCCGGATCTATCGATTCGGGCGCATAATAAATAAAAGATAAACATAATTAAAATAGAGATTCATATTTAGTCATTATAACAAAGAATATATGCATACAAATACCCTTATTTAGCTGAATTCCGCAGTCAAGTGTATTGTTTTTGTTCAGGTGTTTTTGTTGAAATAGTTCAGGCATTTTTTCGATTTCTTCCAAATAATTTACCACAATTTAACCACAGAAAATGTTAAAAATGTGTCAACAACATCCAGATTGGCACGTAAGTCCTCCGAAGTATTTGTTTACTTTCTATAAGTTAGTCTAATTTTTGAGAAATAAATATGTTACTATACTTTATAAATTTTCGTTGATAATGATCTTTTTCAGAAACAGTTTAATTGTAAATGAACAATTCTTACATTTGCAGTAGGAGGACGACCATTTGATTTTAAAGGGGGAGGGGGGTGGTAAATTTTTTCGAGTCAGATTATTTTTTTCATGTCGGTGAAGGACATTATTTATTTATTTCCAATTTAATCAAGGACAGATTATTTATTTTCTTCTACACTGAAAAAGTATAACAAGAAAAAAGGTGGCAGTCGACAACTCCGATTCGGGGGGGGGGGGGGGGGGTCAGGGGCAGATTATTTCTTCTTCTTCTTGCCCAGTCGAGGACATATTATTTATTTTCAACATAATCTATTTCCAAAATCCCCCCCCCCCCCGAATGAAATGGTCGTCCCCAAGAGATGACGGTTCATTGATTGATTCGATTTTAAGAGTATTATATAAGTGCTTCAGCTGAAAAAAATTAGTTAAATAAAATTATATCCTCTAGACCTAGTATTAACTACAGTGAATGGTATAAGACATGGTTTGGAATTTTTTTTATTACTACGTGGTCACGAAATTCAAATTGGCATTGCTTCATTTTTACTTCGAGTGATCAAGGGTTTCGAAAGACTAAGAGTTCGAAAGTTAAAATCAAGAGTAGATTTGATTATTTATAAAAGGGGGGGGGGTAAAAATCGGAACCGGAGACTCACTTCGATCTATCAAGAAATAAGGTCGGGCCATTATGAGTTACCTGTACAAGTAAGAAATGTACATACAGACGCTAAACAAGTATTATATTGTATAACTGACTTCGCATAATCAGGGTCTTGCATGGGGCATCTATATACGGGTAACTTATGCTATTCACCAAACTGTTTTACATCACCTCCTGATTGTTGGTAGGACATGGAACACGTGTAATGGTCTGACATTTCATTTGATGTACTCGATAGAGAGCAATGATCTCTCTGCATTCTTTTGCGTGCCCGAATGACAGACACCACCTTGATAAGACGTTACGTAAAAGCAAGGTGACCGAAATCATTGAAAAAACTAATCCAAATAGCTAGCAGATTTTTCTGTTGTTCTGTAAAAATAATCTTATAACGCACAGACTGAACTGGCCTCATTCTGAAGGAAATTCTGGCTAGATAAAACTTTCCAAATTTGAAAATGGTAAATTATAATAGTATTTAAATTACAATACAATTAAATCATCAAAATCATTAATGTATAACATTTTATAACTCCCTAGTTATAACAAAATGGACATGAAATGTGGTCACAATGTATGGTAAGAACATGAAGAATAATATGGTTTCAAAAGTTGGTTGCTTCTAAAAAGTTATTCGTTGTACAGGGGCGGATCCAGCAATTTTTGAAAGGATCGAGGGGTTCCAGGGTTGTTCCCCTCTTACCCCCCCCCCAATACATACTCTCAAGCAAAGATTCACAGACTTGTATGGAAATATCTAAGGTTGTGCTAAATACTATCTTTGTTTTATGGCCTTTTTTTTTTTTTTTTTTTTTTTTTTTAAAAAAGCGTCCCCCAGTATTAACAAAACAACAAATAAAAAATAAACAAAACAAAACCAAAAAAAAAAAAAAAAACACGTTTCAAAAACTACGGATGCCTTAAAATTGAATGGATTTGTATCATTTCCGAAGAGTATAAAGAATTTTCTTTAAGAATTTGAAAAACTTTTTTTGGGGTGGGCTTTAAAACAGAGTTACATGTTAGTTCCTTCAATAGATCTAGATATGATAAAAAACGGTACAAGTATAGTGTCTTCCCACAAATTTTTATTAAAATAGAAAATTAGGTGTTATGACTATACAGATACATTTTATAAAAAGCAATATTGTAATAAATTCAATATTTTGTATATATTTTCATTTTTATTACATTTTGTTAAATATGAATTTAGTTTAATAAAAAAAAAAGAAGAAATTTTTATGAGAAAAATATAAATTAAGTTTCAATAATTAGTGTCAGAATGTAACAAAAAGTACAAGTATTTTACAGTGTAAGAATTCAATTTGTCACCCAAGGTTTTCCTGTTTATTCAATATAAAACAGTTTTTGTACAAGTGAAAAAAAGGACTTTCTTTTACAAATATTGGCATGTCCAGCTAATGGATTTCTATTGTATTTTGGTAAACAATTTACCTATGAGTTTTTAGAGTCAGATGTTCAATAAGCATGATAATCAAATAATTGCGTAATAGTGTTAATCTCTTTTGTGATTTTGTCTTTTTGTTAAGAAGGCCTAAGGGTCTGAAGTCAAGCCCAAAGTTTACTCAATTACCGTGGCGGTCATTTTTATGTCACGTGATCACTCTGTTTTTAATTAATCATCTTTATTTGGAAAATTTTTACAACTTTCGGCTATTCATTAAGAAATTCTAAATTTTGATTGGCTAAAATCCTGTAATCCAAAGACGCGGAATCGTCGGTGAAAATTCGCCCAAGCTTGGTCACTTTCATCGACGATTTCAAAGAATAAACTTCAGTTATTAAAAATATATTATTTCTTTATTCTTTGGATTTTTACAGGTATGTAAATCGTATAATTTTTAGTTAATTGATTCATTTTCTATTAAAGCAATTCTTTTTATGCTCATGAATAAATTTTAAAATATTAAGTATTTTATTGATAAGTATTTTTATGTATTTCTTGATTCTAAATTTGAGCTTGAGTTAAGTTTCCCCTAAAGTTTTTATTGTTGCATAAGTTTTATGCATAGTGACCTCATTTAGTATTTGAGTTTATAGTTGTATGTTTTATTGTAATAAACGGGTTTAGCGACAGTCTCAAATAAATGTAGCGTTCTTTGAATTGTAATTTGAAATTTAGCGCCATTATATTCATTGTGTGCTCTTTAATATAAGGAGGTAGAAATGTTATTTGTTTGTATCGAAAAGCGCTGGAAAAGTAAATTGTAAAATGACTTTAGAGATAAGATTGTAAGTACAGAAGCTTTTGATTGTTATGATTACCTTTATATTTAAATGATTTTAGTTCGGATTAGTTTCCACTTCAATGATCTATGATTAAAGTTAAAAGAAAAGTGTAAAATAGATAATGTTTTATTTCCAAATTTTCTCTGTTTAGTAATTCATGCTACGAGACTGTCCGCTGTAATTTGTGGGAAGACAGTAGTTTAGATTTATATAATATCTATGCAAGTTTAGATTTTCATTTTACAGAGGGATTTTTCCTAAATTGTTCAACCTCTGTACAGTCACCAGGATTAACTTTAAAACATATTTTTATAATATTTTACATTGTATTTGTAACTGGTGACTGTTTGTTTATAAGATTATTAATACACACTTTCATCGACGATTTCAAAGAATAAACTTCAGTTATTAAAAATATATTATTTCTTTATTCTTTGGATTTTTACAGCCACCGTATAAGCCAGGAAGTAGAGCAGTCCAAATAAGGAATAAAGTTAAACTTTCCCCAAGCGAGTGATTCCCCTAATAAATAAAATACAACACAAGTTCACGTGTAACCATAAATAACAACGTGACAATAGCCAACACAGCCAAAGATCGCGGGAATCCAATATCATATTAAACCTCGCATGCTACATACAAGATCTCTCCATTCTCTCATAAAAAAGTATAATAGAGAAGGTGACTGGAGGAAACTTAATGTGTGAGAATCTCTGTATTCAATAAATAAGTGGGACGTACAAATACAAATGTATATAATCTCGGAAAACGTTTTATCCCCTCTCACTCTCCAAAAAATAAAGGGGGGGTTCCAACCCCCGGAACCCCCCTCTGGATCCGCCAATGGTTGTAGACGTTAAGATGGTTTGGACGTGATCTTATGTCACAACAGAAGGGGTCCCCTCTATTTTTTAAACAAGGATTCCAATACAAGAGAAACAGGTGATGTGGAAATTAAAATATAAAATTATGAAAATCTGAGCGAAATTTCAATATATCTGAAGGATTGACGATGTAGGGTCACCAGTTAAAATTCTGAAAATACTTATTCATACAGTTACTGTACTATAGACAGATACTCGTCTGCATTGTAATTGTACTTTAATACAGACGTTTATAATGACACTATTGAAACCACTCTCACATACAACTTTTTTTGACTTAGATCTAGTTCAAGGCCTTCACATCTGACAGTGTTTTTTTTTCTTTCTAATATATATATATATTATAATAGTAAACCTGAAACCTAGCTAATCACGTTGTACCCAGATGGTATGGGGGACTTTAAATAGAAGGGGACACGCGATAACAGGTGGCGCTGGGAAATCGTAAGAAGCTGCTGGGAGGAACTTCATGTTGTCCAGAAATCCCCCTTCTCTAGTGTAAACTCTTATCATAACCTAGCGTACTAGTGTCTTTCCTATAGTGAGCGGACTATACACATTACATCAAGGTAAGTACTAAACTTTTGTGACAAAGGATAAAATAGTGATATAGCACACGCGGATGTCTCATTTAGAATGATTTAAAATTTTGAAAATAATTATAAAATAGAATATATCGATGGGGATGGTGTTTTAATAGACATAATATATATTTAGAATAGCTTTTTCTCTGTAGTTTCAATTTTAACGATATCAGCATGAATACGCTTGGAAGTTATTTTTAAATAGCATGTGATTACATTTTTACAACGCGTGAACATTGCATAATAAGGTCAATTGTTAAAAAAGATAGCGAGTACATAAAATGTATTCGTTGTCAATCAGATAAATCGACCTCATTCTTTTCTGGGTCACTGTATTCGTGCATTCACCCATATATAGGATGACAAAACGTTCTTTGATGACCTGGCTATCATGTAATGACTTCACACTTGCATCTGATAATACAAATATAACTGTGCAGCTGGATACTTTTATTGAGAAAATCAATATAGATCAAATGCATGCCTTTTTATTGTTGTTGCAAGTTTAAATAAATACCTATTTAATCTTACCAGTATCCCCCTCCCCCGGGATTCTAAGGCTGATATAGGAGGATCAAGATGTATATACACTTATACTTACAAATATTAAGAATAAAATCAGATACCAATATATAGCATGATAAAGAATGAAAAAATATTTCTGAAAGTCACTTCATAAATAAGTACATGTGTGTGATAATCTTATCTAGAAATGTACTAATAATATGGCAAAATATGTACTCTAACAATATAGAGGAAGGCTTCTAAACTACTTAATGATGACCCACGTATTTACATACTACTGGCGATGATTGCTGTGGACCTATAGTGGCCGTAGAAGGCTACAAATGAGCGATAACATTTATTTATTTTAGATTATTCATCCAATACAAACAAATTAAAGACTGACACCGTGTAAACACAGTCTGCTTAATAGAGTTTAGAGGACTTACTGATATCTGGAAGAATAATGAACAGTTTTCTTTATAGCTTACCTAACTCAGATAATTCATTTACGATAATCAGTCTGAAAAAGTTATGAATAAAACATCAGATCCTTCCAACGAAAAATGAAACATTGTGGGTACTGAGCCAGAGAATTTGATTAAAAATTGAAATTTAACAGGAGGAGGGGGTAGCTAAATCTCCAAAGCTAGGGTATGCAAGACAAATAACTGAAAAACCCGTAATGAGTTTTCTTTTTAGAGTTGTCCTCCTTCGCACTTCGCGCAGTGCTTATTCGATAAGACTTTCACATATATATGCTGTGGTACGTTCGAGTGTTTTTTAGAACTCATCGCTTTTTCCAAACATCACTTTTTACTAAATATTGAAAATGTTCATTGAATAAAAGAATGGCTGTCGAAAGCGGGGAACCACTTTTCTTTTGAATTTGCTTGTTGTTGCAGTGCTGGTTAACCGAAATTATCAATATGTGGTAATGTATGGAAAAAAAATATGGCCACGAAAAAAGTTGAAACCTATCACACACATTCTTTGCTACTTCCTCAACAAACTGTTCTCAAAAAAATACGTTAATATAATAGCCCTTTTCAACTAGGGAAGAAAACATGTTGGACCTTTTATATCTGTATATGACAAATCGACCATCACTCGTTGATAGATGCAAGTTATTATCAGAAATGTGACATCATCTATACTGACACCAATATCTCAGTACACATCAACAAAACGTAGCAACTTAAAATATTCTTGAGGAAGAAGGTAGATGATAAGACTAGGAGCCTGAATAATGATTCCACTCTAAATTCTAATCTATAGTACTCTGTCCTTGAAATCTGGAACTTCGTCCAAAACACTCTTACTTAATATAACGGAAGACAGTGTACCATCAAAACTATAATCCACCAGATTACAGCATGCTTGGATAACATGAGATGTTAAAAGACAGTCAAAGAGGAAGAGAGTGTTGTAATACAGCAAGGAACATCAAAAGTAAAGTCAACATCAATATAGGATACCAGCCTAAAAAGAGACTTAAATAAATAAAAGAGTGTAGTAGGCCTATAGAAACTACAAATAGGACAAGGTAAGCCAGATCTGACAAGCAACTCAAAACAATTTTGGAGCAAAAAAGTTAAAGATGCTGCGAATAAGTTGGAGATGCGCCGATCAAGGATGTAAATGGTCTACATGTGTAACATATTTGGAGATTGAATTAAAGGGGAACATCGTAAATCAACAATTTACATCAGCAACGAAGATGTGAATACTACCTAAAATATAAATCCTCATTTTGCCAAAAGTATGGAGCTCGGTTACCAAACAGACCTTATATTTTTGGATTTTTTTCAAAGCAATTGATAAGGTTTCCTACGAGAGACTTCTCTTTAAGGCGCACTTTCATGGACTCGGACGCTCTACTCCGCAATGGTTTGGGGACTTCCTTAGTGGCGAGAACCAGCAAGTGTTAGTAGATGGGGTAAGCTCATGCAGCAGGAGTGTCTCAAGGAAGCGCTCAGGCCGCTGGTATCCCTCCTCAATAGCAATGAGTCTGTCGTTCTTGTGTCTTCGCTTATGAGTGTGTCCTCTGCCATAAGATCTCAAATAACGATATAGCTAAACTGCAAAAAGACCTGAAAAGTATATTACAATTGAGAGTGTAAAAGTTTACCCAAGCAAATGTTAATTGCTAATAATTTCATACAAAAGTGCTCTACAACACCCGCGGTTAGATGTTTTGAATTCTGAACAACTTCTCATAGACCAACAGTGTAATATCAATACAACTTATAAAAACTCTCTTTTGATCTCCAAAGGATTTCTTTGGAGGAAAAAAAGAAGAACGAGATACAAAGCTGTGATGATTTACAGGATTGCACACGGCCTGGTAGCTATTCCACCATCTTAGCTGTTGTAGCCAGAGGACATACGTACAGATTCGTAAAGATTCCTGGTACTATATGGGAAGATCCTCCTTCTCAGACCGCACGGTATCAGGATCTGGAACAATTTCTGTAGCAAAAAGCTGTGGTCAGTACCTCCCTGGACATGTACAGATAGGAATCCTATATCCACTATCCAGCATACTATGTTATTCTTACCACCAGCCGTGTTATGCACGTATTTTAGACATTATTGCCTGACGTCATGGCGTCATGCTGTATAAGGATTGATATTTTCATAATCCGAAACTAATAGATCATACCTGGAGAGCTAGATTTTATGCAAGCTGATTTTTATTGGAATTCTTTATCTGCATTTTAAAAGAAACAGTTTTCAGAAAAAAGACTGATATTACTGATGCAAAATACTGCATTGTTTAATTCCTTTATTGTATTGCATGGTACAGATTATTCCATGTGATTCACTGTTTCAGCATGTCCGTGTATCCTTTTTTCTGCATTTCTAAACTACTGAATTAGTCCATTTATATTCTACGAAAGGGGTGAATCGCTCTTTTCGCGCCAAATGTCACTGCTTTGTTCGCGCCTTTTCCTTTGGATTGTTCTATCGTATGAATGGAACTCGAGGTTCAAGGTCAAAGGGTCAAATTAAAGGTAGAGTGGAGAAGGTCTTATCATAAGAAATACACATATGAAATATTAAAGCCCTAGCACCAACTGTTTGAAAGTTATGGTCAAAGTTATTTTTTTTTCAAAAGTAGGTCAAACTTCAAGGTTAAAAGATCAAAATTGTTGAGATCCAAAGAAAGGTCGTCTTGAAACATCGAATTTCCTGTGAAATATGATGGCCCTGACATAACTTGTTCAAAAGTTATGTCCTTGATTAAGTTTTTTTGGAAGTGGGTCAAAGGCCAAGGTCAAAAGGTAAAAAATATTGATTTTCAAGGAAAGGTCTTATCACAATGAAGAGACTGTGAAGTACTAGTATAGGAGCACTAGCATCAACTGCTCAAAAATTATAGCCAATGCTAAAATCTGGTAAGTTCTTGCAAATTTGGGACAAACTTCAAGGTACAGGTCAAGAGATCAAACATGTTGGTGCTAAAGAAAGGTCTTATCACATGAACTACATGTTTCAAATAAGAGAGCCCATAGCTCCAACCAATTAAATTGTATGGGCAATGTTAGTTTTTGCGGACAAACAAACAGACAGACAGGGAAAAACTATATACCCCCGAATCTTCGATATTCATTGAAACAAAACCTTTCCATATACAGGACTGTCAATATTTTTGACATTCATTTGACCTTTGGATTTGATCCACTTTAACCTTGGACATAATTTTTAACAGTTAGTACTAGGGCCTTCATATTTTACAGGTGTATTCCATGTGACAAGGCCTTCCTTTGCTACCAACAACATTGACCTTTAAGTTTTGTAGACAAGTCCTTTCTTTTGGTAACAACATTTTTCATCCTTTGATCTTAGAATTTGACTTACGTTTGACAAACATCAACCGTCACCAAAAGCTGTCAGACGGGAGCATCAGCGTTTCATAACAGTCTCGCTAGGTATCTTCCATCCGGCAACTCCTGATCTCTCTTGCATATACATGTACTATATAGTTTTTTTCATTACATGTATATTCCCTTCTTTGATTATTTGAGTATTTATAGTGTACTTTCTTAGTTCTCCTTAATTTGTAAAAAAAAAAAAAAAAAAAAAAAAACTAACTGAATTGAATAGAATTGAATTGAATTGGTCGTCCATACAATTTTTTATATAGACTAGGAAGCTATAGATCTGTACCTATGTAAACCACGTGCCTCTTTTTTTCTCTCTTTTTCCGCAGTAGACTGTGAATAATGACGTCTAGAAGAATGTGATAATACTTCGTTTTTGTGGATTATCTGTCTAAATACGTTGTTTGATGATATTTTTATTGATTTTCCCCAAGATTCCTCGTCATTAGCACGGATCTTATTGTATAGTAATGTTATAGGGACATATTCGTCTGTTATGTTCTATAATTTTCTAACAAAATATATTAAAATGTCATTTGGGTTTAATAAGCGGCACTCCTAATAACTGTTACAACTTATTTTGACATTTAGCTGAACACGTGTTGTTAAGTTTGTAAATGAGAAGTACTCACTCAGACAAGCAGTTCAGTCGTCTTCTAAACGCTGCATTACCATAGGCGCCGGAACAGTTTGAAAGGGGGTCAGTCTAGAAAACCGTATTGGGCTAAGCCCAAATAAGGGTAATGTAGTATGTTTAAAACTGTCCCCCCCCCCCGAAATAGGATTTTCAAGTTCCCCCTTTCTTGCTTGTAAAGTTTTTTTTCAGATGTTGATTTTTTTTCTCTGCCTCCCCCTCCCCCTTTCAAAAACCTCCTACATCACTGCAGTGGGAGAACCATATCGTATCTGGACCTTATTGCAACATTGAAATTGAAGTACTTTATCAACGAAAGATGAAGCATTTTGGATACATGTGTATGTGTGATATCCAGGTAGAATGAACGAAATAAAAGCCAACAATGCTGGCATGTATCTAAATATCAAAGTCGTCCTTTCTCTAGTGACTAGAACTTATTTGATGTTTAATGTTTGTTCTGAATGTGATTTTTACACAGTGTTAAGGTTAAAGTTTTTTATCTCCAGTAATGAAGTCAGGTTTTGTCAAATAGCCCCCCTTCCCTCCCCTCCTTTAAGTGAACCTTCTCTAACTATTAAAGATGACAGTACCGTGTTTCAATGTGGGACAGTGGTAGATTCTCAAATATTTGTATATAGTCATCACTTTTGAATTTGGATTGTGAGGATATTATTAAATTAGAAAGATGTTTGGTAAGAGAGTCACTGGTACTTATTGATTCCTTTATCACTAATTCTCGAAAATTATTTAAAACGTTAATATAATGAATAAACATGTACTCCAACATTCTACTTACTGAATAGTTTTTAGATATAAGTAGTAGTAATTAATTGTTATATAAAGTACTCGTATAAACTTAACACTGAAATCAATAATTATAGTCTTCATTTAATATAGGATCTAACAAAGCATTGGGGTGGGGGCAGGGCCGGGGCAGATCAAGTTGATATATATATAATATAGAACGTTATTTTTATGCCCCTGGATCGAAAGATCCCGGGGAATATTGTTTTTGACCTCTCTGTCTGTTTGTCTGTATGTTTTCCCTCTCCACCCTGATGTCAACTTTAATCTAGCCCATAACTATTGAGTGGGTGGGGCTATGGCTTTCATATTTGACAGGTGTATTCCTTGTGACAAGTCCTTTCTTTGGGTACCACCAAATTTGAACTCTTGCCCTTGGAGTTTGACCTACTTTTACAAAAAAATACCACACTTTAACCTTGGCCATAATTTTTGAACAGTTGAAGCTAGGGCTTTCATACTTGACATTGTATTCACTGCGACAAGACATTTTAGCTGGTATAGATATTTTGACCTTTTGACCTTGACCTAAAAGTTTGACCCACTTTTTAAAAACTTTTACCCTTGTCATAACTTTTGAACAGTTAGTTCTATAGGGATTTCATATTTGATATTTCACATGTGTATTCCTTGCAACAAGACCTTCCTTTGGGTACCAACACTTTTGACCTTATGACATTGACCTTTGGAATTTGACATTCTTTTTTAGAGAATTCAACATTCGCCATAAGCTATATACGGGGGCATCAGTGTTTCACAAATATACATCTTGTTCATATGCTTATTGTGACAAATTTTTCAAAAATGGAGTTTTCTCATAGATTCATAACTTGTTTTTAAAAAAAATATTTGTTATAAAATATATGAGATGAATCTGAAACCAACGATTGCAGCAAATTGTCCGCTCAAAATTTGATTCCGTTCTGTTTACTACATAATCCCTGCAATCATCATTACCATATTTAAAAGACTGAATGCTTGACATTGATAGAACTTTGATTGCAATCAAATTGATAAAGGCGGTCTCATTCAGGCATCATTATGCTTTTTTTCTTATTACCAATCAATGAAGAATCACTGAAGATCCCCCGACATACATCAGGAGAACAGAACATTTAATTTTAGTGGAATGTCCTTTAAAAATTCAAATATCTAGCAAATAAGCCGGAAGGCTTTAGGATTCAGTTTCTGGACAAAGGACAAGGTAGCTTTTTACTGACAAATCATTTATTGTTAATATTGTTGTTTTGGGTTTTGTTTTGTTGTTTTTATTTTTTGTTTTAAACTACAAAAATTTATCGAAAAAATAGTTTCTGCATGCTTAGACTATGTTAAACAATTCCTTATCACTGGCAATGAGAAGTTTATTGGCGTTTACGTTATTTGTATAAAGCACCGTCACGTAGCTCAGTCGGTAGAGGTCGTGAGTTCGAATCTCGGCCGTGACACTGACCTAAGTCAATAAAAGAAGGGTAGCAATTGTTCCTTCGCCGTTTACTTGCCGCATGACGCAGTGGTTAGAACGTTTGATTTAGAGTCGCGAAGGAGTTGATCCTTACATCGCGGGTTCAAATCCCACTGTATGACGTGGAGACCGGTCCTTCGGATTAGACCTTATAAACCAAGGTCCTGTGTTGCAGTAGGTCCAGGCACGAAAAAGATCCCTCACTGCTCAATGGACGTAAGTGCCGAGTTAAGATCAAATTTTGAAGCCCTACATCGGTAAATGCATGTTGACGTCTACACGAGTGAAAAAATCCTCGAATGGGACGTTAAACAACATACAATCAATCAATCAATTTATAAATAAGGTTTGACAAGGTGAGCGTGGTTACCTATGGGCATTGTAAAGTTAAAATCAAATTCAATTAAATTCAGACAGCAAGCATTTTATGCAGAGATCTGTAATTTAAGTAACCAAGAGTTTCTTGTGGCTACCAGTTCTTTCTGGCTATGTTTTGGCTTACGTGCAAGGAGAATCGTTCATATTGAACATTATGGATTACTTTACACTTCTAACAGCAGTATTC